AGTGCGTACTCTTACCCTACATGCAATTCGCGCACAAAACAACCCCGAAACATTGTGTAAAACTTCACAAACAGAAAATTGCACTGCACAGTATTTCACCAGAAAACCTCACAAGTTTCCCACAACAATCACGAAAATGTACCTTATCTCAACTGCCAAGTATCAAATTTGTTGTACCATACCATAATAATATCATAACGCTCCAAAATAATATTCATCGCCTTAAACTCAACAGCGTCGCCGCACAACGTCCACGTTCCTTTGGTGACAAACACGTACTGGCGGCTTCATGTCACTTCATGAACTCGACAAACCCGCGTTGCTAGGCAACCGAAACAGCTGATGCGTACTCTTATCGTCCGCGTCCTCTTACCCGCCCTTACCCTACGCCAAATATTACGATGATTTAAGAATAACAGAAAATAATTAAATGATTACCTATGTAACAAGTTTGTCAACGTAATTACGTAAATGAGATACATAATAATATAATATATTTACACAGTCAAGTTAATTTTTTTAATTAAAATTTTAATTTTAGGTTCTTGTAGATATCAAACCGCCAGGAACGTTAGTACACTTCGTGTTATCCTGCCAAGCCCCAATATGCCCCAACTTAAAGGTAGTGTGCCACCTTTGAAAGATTTCCCATTTTATTTTTCCTAGGATAAGAAGCTTCTGTTTTTACCTAATATCGCAAAGAAAATCAAAAATGGGCCTGGAATAGTGCCCTTTTCGCCTAAAAGTTTATCGGTTTTTCGATATGTATAACAACTGTAGTGGGCTGACCTGCAAACAGGCGTCGGCAACAATCGCGAATGCGGCGCACATGTGACAATAAGCAAAGGTCATTATAGAGTTACGACGTACGGGAATGAGTTATCAGCTGTCTAATCGTAGACAACACAATGTCGAGCCTTAAACTGTAAGCCTGTATTGGTATTGTTTCTTTTATTTGGCTGTCGAACATTATTTATGGTTTGAAATATGATTTTATGTAAAATAATTGATATGAAAAAGCCGTCTCTTAAGTTATGACCCCATTTCACCACACGCAAGTGGCAGAAATGACAATGATCAGCTGACGCATTTTTCTTGGCCGAAGTCAGAGCGCGCGGCCCGACGCACCACCACCGCACCACAAAGTATGAGCAGAAGCCACGCCCAAAGCCAGGGCCCCGGTAACGTGAGGTAGCCGAGTCGGGGCAGCGTGCGCTGACCCAAGCCGGGGCCGCAGCTTTGGGCGCGGTCTACCGCATCCCCGCGGGCAGCCCCGGGCTATCACATGACACCGGGAGGACGCGCGGCCCCGGCTTGGGTCAGCGCACGCTGCCCCGACTCAGCTACCTCACGTTACCGGGGCCCTGGCTTTGGGCGCGGTCTACCGCACCACCTAACAGGCGTGTTCGAAACCGCAGGAGATGATGATGAACGGGTTTATCGAAACTTGATTGGATGAGCATATCGGTAATAGCGATTTCAGTGTGTGCATTTATTGTTCATAGTGGTGTGAAATGTGGTTGGGGTACGACCGACAACCCGTCGGGGCGAATTTCGCACTGGGGTACTCAAAATTTGAAGAATTTAAGACGTTTCCATGAGTTTTGAAGGTATGGATAAGTTCTAAAAATCCGGTTCTCCTTATCTGGGCCATTAACTCCATACGGTCCAGGAAAGCTGGCACACTACCTTTAAATGTTTCCGTAATGCACCGGTACCTACGCATAGCCGGAGGGGAGCCGGATCCGCCGGAGCCGTCATATTTTGCCCTGAGTGGGAGCCGGAGCCGGAGCCGTATTGCCATTTTACTCGGAGCCGGAGCCGGAGCCGGAGCTGGAGCTGACTCAAATGTTCAAGGCTCTGCATCCCTGCTGCTAAGTCAATAATTCGTATAGTTAATTTGGTAAAGGGCCATACTGAACAATCTCGGTTTTTTTCTCGAATTAAAAAACCTGGTAAAAGGCCATACTGAACAATCTCGGTTTCGAGATGTCCGCCCATCTGAGACCCGACGCACACAGCATGCAGAACCGGTTCTGAGTGAGGATCGACCGACAGATGGCAGTCGTGTCTGAACGGTAGATGGCAGGGAATTCGTAGTTAGTAGGCGGGGCTTCGCGAGCAGCCTGACGATAGCCGCCATCCGGGCTGATATTTCACTTAGCATTACGAGTGAACGGGAAGTACCCTAAATATTTATTTGACATTAAAAACCTTAATAATAAAAATTAGGCCGGGGTCTGAAATGTCCATTGCCGAAGTTTCGTTCTTGAGAGGCAACGTATTCAAAAGTTATTGCAAAAAAGTCGCGTCCCACGCGGTTTGACGTCCACAGTAGAGGCATTTTCATTTTTTTTTCCATTGACTTATAATGGAAAGGTCACGCCACTGGCCTAACCTTAGGTCACGGATATAAAAAACCCGAGATATACAAATTATAGGCATCATGATAGGCCCATAACATCAAATTATAGGCCCATAACATTATGCAATCCACTAAGTTTAAAACCTCTCTGACAAACACTGCAGGCTGGACATGATTGCGAACTTCTTTAGGCTTGGTCAGTTATCTTGACCTGGTGACCTGACCTGACATGACCTGGGGTCAAAAATTTCCCAAACTGTCCAAAATTGCTGTCAAAAAGCTACTCCAAGCGACGCGGCGCTAGCGCCGGGGTTTTTTATTCACACGCAAAAAACGCGACAGGGTGGTAACATATGCCCCTCCCCCACCCCCACCCCCACTGGGGCGAAGGTTTATGAAAGGATGCAAGCTGATGAAGTTATATTTATCTATATACCCTTTTGGTTGAATTACTGAAGAGAAATGAATTCAAATGTAGTGAATTACGCTCACAATGTTGATTTCATTAGAATTTAATATCGTGTTGGATCATTTTATCAATAAAATCATTCACGAGGCAGTGATTTACAGTCAAAATCTTTTTTGCGGCGTTTTAATCAGCTGGTTAAAAGCCTCTGTTTTGGCGCATCTGTTTCGAAATCCTTGATAACCTTATGTTTGTTCCCGTTTGAGGTTGGAGGGGATGGAAGATTCGAGAGCGGGCATTATATCGTTCTTATACATACTATTTGGTGACTGTACTCAGGACAAGTGAGTAATTAACTTTGATAAGAGCTTAGGACAAGTAGTATTGAAATGGGATAAACAATGGGAACTATTTTGAATTATACCCCTACCCCTCATCTCCAGCCGGTCTGACGATCAAGAACCTAGTCCATTCAAGAAGGAAGAAAGCGACCGAGAACCAGGACAGTGTAATTTACAAAATTCCATGTGGTGCCTGCGATAAAAGTTATATAGGGGAAACATTTAGAGGCATAGATACGCGGACAAAGGAGCACAGGAGCGATCTTAGAAATCATAGATTGTCTAATGCATTTGTGCAGCATGTCGACGAGGCCGGTCACCTTCCAGACTGGAACGGAACTTCAATTTTGTGTAAAGGGTTAAAAAAGAAACATAGACAGGCGTTAGAGGCAGCATTCATTTGTACCCTTCTAACTTTGAACGGCAATGTTGGTAAAGTGAAACTGAGTAGATACACGGCTCAATTACTTGTAAGGGATCTGGCAAACAGGGGTACGACATAGAATGCGACATGTTTCTGCGAACGAATTTACTATCTGTTTTGTGACCTTATTCACCTGTGTAATGTGTATTTAGGCCAATGTTTTGAATTGTTATCATTTGGGATGTAAGGCTTGAAAAAGACATTTTGTCGAAACACATGTGTAGCCAATTCAAAAGAATATAATTCAAAATAGTTCCCATTGTTTATCCCATTTCAATACTGAGTAATTAACATATGTTTACATGATTCGTATCTTATTCACGAACCAGGCAGCCATGGCGGACAGGAAAAAACCAGATGTTGCTCTCGCTTCCTCAGTTAGGAACATAGCCGAGTCTGTAGTTTTTATTTTAAGTTGTGACCATCTAGATTTCAAACATGTGGTTGGTACTTAGTACCTGCAACATTTCAGGAGAATGTGGAAAAGTAGAGCACCTGTGAAATGTAAATATGATTACTGCTCACTGTCCAGTCTTCAGAAACACATGCAACTGTAATTCAACAGTAATTCAACTTCTTTTTGTCCTAGCTTTTTTGATGAATATGTTAATGCTTTTTGTAGGCAATACCTCTTTGATTACAGTTAATATTTTAACAGTTATAGACTGAAATTGAGTTTCAAAATTGAGGGTATTTGTGGGGCCAACTCAGCCAAAATCAGCCTGCTCGTAGTTGTGGTTGGACAATGGGTGGCTGCTGGGTGGGATGGGTACTGAAATTGCGGCATCTCTTGTAGCTACAACCAAGATTGCAGGTAGTAGTATGCCGGTAATCCTTTAAATGGGCGCCACACAACGCATCAAGCACTGGGTTGTTTGTTTCGGTGATATTGCCTTGGGGAATACTGGGTAATGGGCATGCATCCATCCACAGCCCGGCAGCGGGTATAAATGCACGGCTGCATAGCGGGTGTATGTCCCCGCACCCGGCGGCCGGCGGCGGCCCGGTATCAGTCGTCCACTCGGCTGTGTTTGAAGCTAGTCGCACCACCAGTCTGCAGGGCCGGCAGCCCGTCCTTCGGTCCGTGGGCCCGACAGTGGCACCACTCACAGCCCCACCATCCCACCCTACACACGCACACGCACACAAACACGCGCCCCCTAACCCTCCCCCCGCCAGACGGACCGTGTTAATCGACCAATGCATTGCTCCAATGAAAACCACCGTATCTGTGCAGAAAAAAAATCGCTGTTTCAAGTATCAATTCCTTGATCCATACGTCCTAATGAGCCAATGGATAAACTTTTCATCGGACAACATGGAAAAGTAAGTTGATGAATGATATTGTTGGGCGTGTAAATGCAGATTCAGCAATACAACTTGCAAAATGGATTTGTGTTGCCGTTTATCCAGCTGGTTAGTTAGAAGGCGTGGAGCAGGGCGCGGCGGGCAGCTCATACTCACTGGCGGACGTGTCGCCGGACTCGTGTCCCATCGTCGCCATGGCTTGTGCTGAAACAGACCGGGCCTACATCAAGCCGGTGCACAGAACAACAGGCTCAGGCAGGGCGACACGAACAGAGATTAACCCTAGCATGTGTGCGGCGTTTGCCAGCTTCTAATGTGTAGGGGGGGGGGGGTCGGTTGGACCCCCCCTTGCCGTTTGGCCCCTGATTGAGCTAGAGCTTCGCAGAAAAAACGAGCGTGTTGCCCGTGACGAGAGGAAGCCGATGATACCCAATTTTAAGGTCCTAGGTCATTGGTTGACCTTCCAGGTCAGGTCAATGACCCAAAAGTCGGGAAAATCGGGACCTGTTAGAAAGTCGTGAAGTGTGGCTGCTAAGGGGTTTTCGGGGTGCTGATCACGAATATCGTGTTAAGGCCGTGTTACACTGCCGAATTTTGGCCACGACCCTGTCGCCGAATCACGTCGTGCAGGAAATCGGCGAACAGTTCACCGACAGAGGCGAACAGTTCGCCGACAGAGCCCGATTTGCAGACAACGGGTGGGGGGCCCCCCTAATCGTGCGCGGGTCGAAGCTGATCCATGATTCGGCGAACATCGCGAATGAATGGCGAATCTGTTGCGAATAGTCGGCGATACCTTGACAACAAGTCGGCGCACGTAGCGACATGTCGGCGGCGACTCGGCGACTGTTTGGCGATCATGTTCGTTTATGATATGTTCGGCGAACGGCCACGAAATTTTCATTTTTCATGAAATATTCGTGGCGGTCGTGACGAACCGTAAAAGTCGCGCGGTGGACACCGACTGGTCTGCGAAATGCGAAGACCGTGGAAGAAAGATCCCGAATCGGTCCGCGACATAGGATGACTTGCATATTCGTGCGCATTCGTGTACCAAAATTCGGCAGTGTAACAAGGGCTTAAGTTTTGATCACAGATGATGTCTAAGCATTTAGACCAGGTCGGGTCGGGTCAGGTCAGGTCAGGTCAATCAGTAGGGGTCGTGACGTGTCAACCGCGTCTGACAGCTTCGTAACATTACGAAGGCACCAAAACTACTTCGTAAATGTTCAAATCTATATTATGAATTATAAGTTGTCCGTGCGTGCCCGTGTCTGTCAGGACTTATGTGTCTTATTGCGCCTGAAAGGCGCCGCGTTTCGACGTGAAATTTGGCATGCCGAATCTGTGGGCGTGGGCGGCCTTTGTATTAAAATTTGGGGGTGATCGCACCAGGGGTGCGCCGTCAGCACGCGCTCGCGTGCGCCATAGGGTTAACACAGGAAACGGCCAAAACGGACATCGGACGAAATCGGGCCGACACTGCTTGCTCCCCGCGCTAATAACTCTGCAACGGGGGGCCGTAGCGAAATGGGGTTGCCACCACTGGATAGAGGAGAGATGGGCCTAGCGTATTGATATGGTTTCATAGTATAGCACGCGCCACGTGCAAGACAGCACCCCCAGTTGTGAAAAAATGACCGATTTCGTGCATTTTGGGAAGAAAACCGATGCCGCTGGAAAACGGCTTGACGGAATGAAATAGGTGTTGTATCATTTTGCAGGCAAATATACATGTAATCAGAGGAAAGCAATTAAAAAGTGATGGTCCGTACCATTTCCTTAATAATGAAAAATTAATTTGAAAATTTGATTCGCGAGGATCGCGATGTCCTTTACAACATCAAAACGTATTGAAAACGCTGATCAATCGCTATGAAACCTACATATTCGGAAAGAGCATTCTTTTCTGACCAATATCCACCCAAAATATTATCGAAAAGTCAATAAACTTTTGTGAAAATGACTCAAGCATACGACCGTGTTTTGTTAACGTTACAGGTATTTTTCGACAAAATCCGATCGATGGCTTATGGCCAACAGGTCATTCCACTTTTCACAATAGCTATCAAAGCATGGGCTACAATGCACCGCCCGCAAAGGGGAATTCCAAACACTGAAAATAAGCGCCTACCAGTAAACAGCACATTATTGTACTAGGAATAACTCAGCTACTATTGGGCCGATTGCGCTGAAACTTGGACTGTGGGTGGAGGGGGCACTCACCTGGCGATGCATGGTCATGTGTGACAGGTAGGGTGGATCGATTGCACGTGCGCACGTGAGGGGTCCGGTTCTACATCTCAAGAACGGCTGGGCCGATTTCGCTCAAATTTTGTTCACTGTTGGGGACAATTTAGAAAGGTGGCTGGCACAAGTCATCTGGAGTCTCACTTAGCGCGTGCGCACGTGCAGTGGGCCAGTTTTATATCTCAAGAACGGCTGGGCCGATTGCGTTCAAATTTGGTACATTACTTTAATCGGGTATGAGAAGGGTAACTACGTGTAGGTTGTGAGTAGGTAGGGTATGGGTAGGTTAGGGTAGGGCAGCTTTGAGTTCGATAAAGGCAAACCACGAGAAAGGCTCTAACAACCCGCAACCAGCACCAGCATACCATGCCGTTCAAACAAATATCCAACTCCGACAAAATAAGACAAATAAAAATCATAAGTTCCAACACCCAAACTAATGCCCCCATTAACAATATCTATCGAGTCTATACAGTTATCGCGCAAACATGGCCATCTAGTCTTACTTAATAAATTATAAGTCGTGTCTGCGTCCGTCAGCCTTATGTGTCTTAAAGCGCCGGCACGGCGCCGCGTATCGACGTGAAATTTGGTGACCACAAACTTTGGGTGGGGCGGACCATCGTATCAAAAGATGGGCGCAATCGGACCAGGGGTGCGGCGTCAGCGCGTGCATCTCTGCCCCAGGCTGGCCGAGGCCGACGCCGAGCAGAGAGCACGTGCTTTAGGCTCAGTTGTTCGCTTAAAAAAACTGAGTGAAAACGATGAGAGCCAGCTCGGGAAGTCAACTCTGTGGATTTAAAGAATACAGGTTTTCGATTAGCATCAGGTATAGGCGCAGGTACAGGTATTAGGTTCAGGTTTCACCAATAAATAAAATAAGTTTATTACCGAGCAAGCGAAGCGAGCAAAGTGCGAGCGAAGCGAGCAAACTTTCGGATCTGCAGCGCTCCTCGAAAAGCGCATATACCTACATGCCTACCATACAGCTAAATGAAGTAAGTAAACAAACTTAACCCTACTGGCATAAACATAGAAGTTTTAACAACCAAACTAATAATCCCCTTAAACATATATCTCGAATCTATACAGTTATCGCGTAAACCTGTATTCTAGGTCTATATTATGAATTATAAGTTGTCTGTACGATCTCCATCCGTGTGTCATGTCTTATGTGTCTTATTGCGCCTGAAAGGCGCCGCGTAGCGACGTGAAATTAGGCATGCCGAATCGGTGGGTTGAGGCGACCTTTGTATTAAAATTTGGGGGTGATCGGCCCAGGGGTGCGCCATCGGCACGTGCAAAAGGGTGCTCCCATAGAGATAACACGGAGTCGGCGAGAGCGGCGGTCGGCCGAAAATTGGGCCGACACTGGTCGTTTCCCTGCCTTATATCTTGGCAACGGGTGGGGGCAGCGAGAAGCGGTTGTCACCACTGGATAGAGGAGAGATGGAACCAGCGTATCGATATGGTTTCATAGCATAACACGCGCCAAGTGCAAGATAGTACCCCCAGTTGCGAAAAAATGACCGATTTCGTGCATTGTGACGGGAAAATCGATGCCGCTGGAAAACGGCTTGACGGAATGAAATCGGTTTGGTGCCATTTTGCAGGCAAATGTACGTGTTATGATAGGAAAGCAAATAAAAAGTGATGATCCTTACCATTTCTTTAATAATGAAAGATTTATTTGAAAATTTAATTCGCGCGGAGCGCGGTGTCCTTTACAACATCAAAACGTATTGAAAACGCTGATCAATGGCCATGAAACCTACCTATTCGGAAAGAGCATTCTTTTCTGACCAATATCCACCCAAAATATTATCGAAAAGTCAATAAACTTTCGTGAAAATGACTCAAACATACGACCGTGTTTTGTTAACGTTACAGGTATTTTTCGACAAAAGCCGATCGATGGTTTATGGCCGGCAGGTCATTCTACTTTTCACAATAGCTATCAAAGCATGGGCTGCAATGCACCGCCCGCCCAGCGGAATCCCAAATGCTTGAAATAAGCGCTAAGCAGTAAACAGTACATTTTTGTACTAGGAATAACTCAGCTAATACTGGGCCGATTGCGCTGAAACTTGGACTGTGGGTGGAGGGGGCACTCACCTGGCGATGCATGGACATGTTTGACAGGTAGAGTGGGTCGATTGCACGTGCGCAAGTGAGGGATCCACTTATACATCTCAAGAACGGCTGGGCCGATTTCGCTCAAATTTTGTTCACTGTTGGGGACAATTTAGAAAGGTGGCTGGCACAAGTCATCTGGAGTCTCACTTAGCGCGTGCGCACGTGCAGTGGGCCAGTTTTATATCTCAAGAACGGCTGGGCCGATTGCGTTCAAATTTGGTACATTACTTTAATCGGGTATGAGAAGGGTAACTACGTGTAGGTTGTGAGTAGGTAGGGTATGGGTAGGTTAGGGAAGGGCAGCTTTGAGTTCAATAAAGGCAAACCACGAGAAAGGCTCTAACAACCCGCAACCAGCACCAGCATACCATGCCGTTCAAACAAATATCCAACTCCGACAAAATAAGACAAATAAAAATCATAAGTTCCCACACCCAAACTAATGCCCCCTCAAACGCATCTATCAAAACGCACAGTTATAGCGCAAAACATGCCATCTAGTCTTACTTAATAAATTTCAAGTTGTCTGTGTGTGTGTCAGCCGTATGTGTCTTCTTGCGCCGGCACGGCGCCGCGTAGCGACGTGAAATTTAGTGACCACAAACTTTGGGTGGGGCGGATCATCGTATCAAAAGATGGGCGCAATCGGACCACGGGTGCGGCGTCAGCGCGTGCATCTCTGCCCCAGGCTGGCCGAGGCCGACGCCGAGCAGAGAGCACGTGCTTTAGGCTCAGTTGTTCGCTTAAAAAACTGAGTGAAAACGATGAGAGCCAGCTCGGGAGATCATTAAACTTTGAACTCTGTGGATATTAAGAAT